TCTGATCTTCTCTGCACCAGATTCTCCGCAAATTCAGCTGCTCGGTTTATTATTTTTATTAGAGATTCCAGTTCTTGTTTAGCCGAGTTGATTTGCTCTATTCTCTTCCTACGCGTCATTTCTAAGGACTCTAAAAGCTGTTTTTCTTGTTGTCGCGTCTTTGTGATCACGTGTTCAGCTGCCTCCGACACTTCTTGTTTAGCGATCGCGATAATCATTTCCACATCCTCTGAAGTTTCCTCTAATTTTCTTAGCTCTGCTCCAAACAAGTTTGCCTTTTCCTTGATGGTCTCGACAGCAGACATTATGCTTTTCTTTCCCTCTTGCACTGCTTTTTCAAGCACGTCAAACGCATGGCCTCTGTGGTCTTCGGTGACGCAAATCGGACAAACATACACCTCACACGAGGAGCAGTAATAACGTACTCTTTCTTCCGTATGCTGCGAGCAAGTCCCCTGTTGCTGCCTCGGAATGGCTTGGCGATCTTCCGCCTCAATGACACCTAACAGACTTTTGTGGAAAAAGCTGTTAGGCAAACGGTCGAACCGATTTCCTTCTGGTAAATTGATTTCTGCCTGGCACTCGGGGCATCTGAATTTCCCTTGTCTCTGGCTCACTCTTGCATGTCTCTCTAAACACTCGCAACAAAATGTGTGAAGACATGATATGGTTTTGGGTTCGGTGTAGGTATCGAGACAAATTGAGCAAGTAACTTGTTTCTTGAGATTCTTAAAGAGAGGATCCATGACGATCGTCAGTTAAACTGTACTAAACTCATTCGATATTCAAGCGACGATCCCTGTCAAAACACTGAAACGAGGGGATACTATTTCAGTTTCCGAGAAAACAGCACAAAGTCCACGACAACTGACTTCCTCTGGCCAATCGGATTCTACAACTTAGACTTATTTATTCTGTCGTCAGTGGCAACCCTTTCTCGCATGAAAGGAAATTTGGTTGATAACAACGTCGTCAGCTGGAAACCGAAACAATAATTTGCATTGTGGTTTGCATTCCTCTGGCGAGACATTTGATTATATTTCTCATCTGTCTTATTTGAAGTCTATATCCTCGGTTTAGTCATTGCCAGAGATCTTTGAACGCACAGATATCAAAACGCCTATGGTTTTGAAGACATTATTCATTGAAAACAGAAAATAAATAGTTTTCTTTTGAAAAACCATAAAGCTACTTTGTACGACTATATATAGATTTCCGAGAAAGCAGAACGGAAATCTGTCAGGACTTCAGTGATGACATTCAATATATTAGTTGACCTTTTCAGTTTGTGACTTATACCTGTTTATCTGTCGCCTTGAAACATATTTTTTAAACATATTCCACTCAGTAATGACAGGGGATTAAGTTTAAATGATAAAACAAAG